AGCCACAGTTTGTTATGATCCACACAGTCAAATGCCTTTTCCTAATCAATGAAACACAGATATACATTCTTCTGGTATTCCCTGCTTTCAGCCAAGATCCGTCTAACATCAGCTACAATATCCCAACTGCCTCTTGGTCCAAATACAGGTTTCGCATTAGCACGATCAAGTGTTCTAGGATTCCCAATCTTCTCAGAGTCACTCTCCCTTATAATTTGAAGAGCATGTCATACATTGATCATTTGAAAATATTGCTTCTCTACATAACAAAGACCTTCCAAATTCCTGGTAAAATTTCAGATCACGTTTGCTAATGTACTACCCAATGTGAAAAGAAAAAAGAAATCATAAACACTTATTGACAGATTACATGTTTCCTGTATTTGAATTTTCATTTGTATACTTGACTTTTATAATTGGTAACATTTAATAGGGTCACTGTTAAATGTATATAAGTCTAAATAACCATAGTCTGTCACTTGTTTTAAGTGAAGATGATATTCCATTTAAAAAAAAAAAAAAAGCAACCAGTTTAACACTCAGTCACACAAAGTTCTTTTCCTCAGAACCTCTGTAGTGTAGTATGCAGCTGAAGTACTTTAGATGCACTTCCCATTTCTTTACACAGATTATTTTAAGGATGTTTTAGTCTCCTAGGGCTGCTGCGGGGAGGGCGGGGGAGAAAGAATAAAATAACACAAAGTGGATGGCTTTAAAGAACAGAAACTTATTTTCTCACAGACTAAATAAAAGATTGAAGGTCCAAAACTGGGGCTTCAGGAAGCTGCTGCTCTCCCTTGGTTCTGCTGGCTCTTGAGGAAGATCAGTTTCAGTATCTGTAGCCCTGTTTTTGGCTTCCTTGGTTTGTAGACTGATCTGCAATGCCATCTTCCTCCCTGTGTCTATAATTCTTTTCATCTTTGTCTTTCTCTTTTATAGAATGCTATTCAGGGGTTATTAGAATTGGGACCCGCTCAACTCTTATAAAGGTGTCCTGGTGGTGGATTATGTAGAGATTCCTATCCACCAGATGCTTTGAGAGAGAAAAAAGGGGAATAGGAAGGTCAGTTATGTGTTGGTTCCGACTTAGCCGCAATGAGTTTGTTTTTTGGTATTTGTTTTTTGTTTTGGGTATTTTTTGGAATTTTTTAGCAACCTTGTTACCAATGACATTTACCAAAAAAACCCCAAAACCCTCATTCCTCAAACAAGGTCAAATGTCATCTTCACCAATGCAAAAGATTAGGATTTCAGCATATCTTTTAGGGGGACCTGATTCAATCCTCAACAAATTTACACTTAAAGACTGAGATTTAATAAGAGAAGATTTCAACTATTTTGTGAAAGGTCTTCTTGCGTGAAACTGGCCTTTTTTTCTTTTCTTTAATGTATAAAAGTGAAACCTACAGTGACTCTCGGAATTTAATTTAGCACCCGTGCCTTGATCCATAATATGACATCATGATTGGATGTGCTTTGGGGAGTGGAATTGCTGAGCCATATGGCAATTCTTTATCTTTTGTAAGAACTGCCACATTGTTTTCTGTACCAGCTGTACCATTCTACATTCCTATGAACAAGGCATAAGGGGTGCAGTTTTTCTATACATTTGCCAGTACTTGTTTTCTATGGTGTTTTGTTTGTCGTCTGTTTTGTTTTCTTATCATAACCTCCTTCTTGTTGCTAGGTGCTATCGAGTCAACTATCACCCATAGTGACCCTGTGAAGAACTCATCTGAACCTTGCCCTGTCCTGCACTATCATGATCTCTGTCATGCTCAAACCCATCGTGCTTATCACTGTGTCAGTCCATCTCGTTAAGATCTTCCTCACAGTCACTAACCCTCTACCTTTCCCAGCATAATGTCTCTCTTCAAGGACTGTGTCCTCTTGAAAATATGTAAGGAGACCAAATTTTACCGCCCTTTCCTTTAATAATCACTGTGGCTATACTTTTTTCAAGACAGATTTTTTTCGGGGGGAGGTCTTTTAACAGTCCATGGCATATTTAATACTCGGTGCCAACAGCACAATTCGAAAGCATCAATTCTTCTGTCATCCTTATTCATGGTCCAATTTTCAGACACATAGCAAGCTATGGAAAATACCATGGCTTGATGAGGCACACCTTAGTCTTTAAACTGACATGCTTGCTCTTTAGAACTTTGGAGAGGTCCTTGACAGTAAATTTCCACAATGCAATATGTCTTTTGACTTCTTGACTGCTGGGTTTTGACCATGGGTGTTGGTTATGTATCAGAGTAAAATGAAATCATTGAAAACTTCATCTTTTCTCCATTTATCATAATGTTGCTTATTGGTCCAGTGGTGAAGCTTACTGTTTTTTTGTCATCTCTGCCTCCCAGAAACCAGCTGGTAGATTTGAACTAATGACCTTTTTGTGGGCACCCCAATCCTTAACTCATTGCTCCACAGAGGACTACTGTTTTTTTGATGTTGAGATGTGGCCCGTATTGAAGACCTTTGATCTTCTGCAATAAGTGTTTCAGGTTCTCTTCACTGTCAGCAAGCAAGGTTGTATCATCTGCATAATGCATGTTGTTGATAAGTCTTCCTCTGATTCTGATGCCACATTCCTCTTACAGTCCAGCTTCACGATTAATTTGTTCACTATATAGAATGAATAGATAGGGAGAAAGGATCCAACCCTGACACACACCTTTTCTGATTTTAAGCCTGTAATATTCCCTTCTTGGTCTAGGTATAGCTTTCACATGAGCACAATTAAATGTTCTGGGATTTCTATTCTTCTCAATGTTAGCTGTAATTTGTATGAGCCACACAGCCAAATGCCTTTGCATAATCAATAAAGCACATGTAAAAATTTCATCATATTCCCTTAACTATAATTTTTTGCTTGAGTAGTTTGACTATTTGTTATAAGGGTTCTTTATATTTCCTAGATATTAAATGTTTATTAAGACACATTGTAAAAATACCAAAACCCACAACTTTTTATTCTATTCTATTAGTCTGTAAAGTAAATATACAAAAAGTAGTTGGGTTTCTAAACTTGGGGAATAAACACCCCCCCCCAAAAAAAGGAAATTAAAGAAACAATTGTACTTATCATTGTGAGTTGAGCATGTGTTTGCCTAATAAATTTCATTTCATTCAACCATTTTTGCATATTTTGGTTTATGATCTTAATTATGCTCATGATGTAATTACACACTTCCAGCCTCCTCACTTTAATTCTCGTTTCCATTAATCCTGCTATCTGAGTTTTCTCCTTGGGCAAAAGCTGTTCTTTTGATTGTATATGTTTGAGTATTTTAAGGGGTGAGTACCTCCTTTGTGTTGCTGTTCAGCTAATAGGCCTGTGTGTTGTTTTGGTGAAAGCTGAGACATGGGACTGAGTTCTAGTCACTAAGGGTGACATCCAGCTGTAGTCTTGGAGGTTCCACCAGTCTCCACATTTTTCATCTACTCTGTAGTAGAACGTTAAAAGTGATAATTGTTTCTATAGTATTATTGACTAGTTAAATTAATTCTATTGTGAGAAAATTATTCTAATCACTGAAAAGCACTAGATAAATAAAACTGATACCATTTTTATTGCCATTACTAATCTTGAGTTACAAAAAATTTCAAGTGTTAACTTGCATGCCACAAAAAGATAGTCACTGGTACAAGTAATCTAAAGAGGCAGCTCGCTATTACAGTATAAGAAAACTTACAGACGAGGCAACAAGGTCATGATAGTAGGAGTTGGTTTCTCCATTTCTTCCACCCTCCATCTTTGTGACGCAGAGCGTCTGAAGGTTTAGTACCTGTGTGATCCATAGAAGCTGCTCTGAGGAGGGCCCAGGGAAGAATTGGCCTTTTTCAGGGGAAAACAAGTATCAGGTGTTAATTTTTATGACTGTGTACTTTGGGTCTGGATGTGCTGCACCCTTCTTTATAGTAAGACACCAGCTGCTTAAGAAATAAGGATCAGTTCATCCCTGAAACTGATAAGGAGTGTTTTAAGAAGTCTAGCCTCTGAAGAATAGCTCAAACTGACTCATCAATAACTTATATTATGCAGATGACACAACTTTCCTTGCTCAAAGTGAGGAAGATTTGAAACTCTTGTTGTAGAAGATCAAAGAATGCAGGCTTCAGTATGGGTTGCATCTCAGCGTCAAAAAAATTCTTACCACTGACCATGTAGGCAACATCATGATAGATGGAGAAAATATTGAAATTGTCCTTGCTTGGATTCACATTCTACACTGTTGGTACCAACAGTCAAGAATTCAGGAAACATATTGCCCAGAGAAAGTCTGTAACCAGGGAAAGCTCCAAACTGTCAAGGAGTAGTGATGTCAGTTTGAGGATGAAAGTACTTTCCGATCATTTGCTATGCATCTGAGAGCTGGAGAATGACTGATAGAAGAATTGATGCCTTTGAGCATTTGAGAATTGATGGTGTTGGAGAAGTATACTGAATATCCCATGGACTGCCCAAAGAACAATTAGCTATATCTTGGAGAAAGTGCAGGCAATGTGCTCCTTGGTGTCAAAGATGGTGAAGCTTTGTCTCATACTTTGGACATGTTGCTAGGACAGACTATTCCTTGGAGAAGGACATCACACTTGGAAAGGTGGAGGGTCATGCAATGTAACCTAAAGTTGGCTTTTTTTTAAAGACCTTACATTAAACCCCTTCTGGTCTCCAGCTACTTAACTGCAGACACATGGTCTTGCAAATTATCAAAAGCTATGGGACCAGGATAAGATAGAGAGAGTGCTTCTTTCCACACTGAATGCCAAGACTTGTGGTGGCAAGACTTGAAGAAGACTACAGCAAGAACCTGTTGTAAGTTAGATATTCATGTCAAAACCCTAGTAATGGTGGTGGACAGACTGTGGCATTGTGAAGAAAGTGGCAAGGTGTGACTTGAAGTTTTTTGCATTTGTGCTGGCCACAGTTACAGGTTTTGCTGATACAAAATCTTGCTGGATGATTTTAATTTGACTGCTGAATTGAAACTGGAGGCAGGACTAATTGAGGAATTGTGCCTTGTGACTACTTGGCTAAAACTTGGATTTGCATTGGGTGATATTCTTTGCCTCCCCCACTCTCCAACATATTTCCCAAATAACCCCATTCTTGGTACCACAAAAAAAAAAGGAATAGCTCAAACTCTGAATATGTAGCATTCTGCTTATGTTTGTAAATAAACTTTACTACAGGAATGCTAATTTCCTTTTTTGTGAATTATGAAGTATGCTAATAGACCATGTGCTTAATTTTTATTTTTGCAATATTTCACTATTAATGGTTTTTTGGTTTTTTTTTGCAAAAGTAATGATTTAATGACTATAAGCAAGACAAAGCAATAGAATTGTGGTTCTTTTACAGACTGGGGACAATGAAATGTTTAGTTACAATTTTCCCATACAAACATGAAACAATATTCATATCGGATAAACACCCTCACAAATAACTGATGGGTGATGAAAATACACCAAGTTCGACCAAAGCAAAACATAAAATTGTTGGTGTTATACATTTTTATATTCAACATACTCACGCTATTTAAAAATTAATACCTGTAGAAGTTCATAATTGCTTTAATTTCCAGACCTTAGAGAAGGCATTAGTAATGGTTTCTTAATGAAAATACGTGTGTGGTTTGGTTAGTTCCTGATCTTAAACTGTGAGATTTCATTTCATATATTTATTCCTAGGTCAGAACTTTGTTGATAGTTTTATGTTACAAAAAAAAAACCAGCTTTGGTTGTCCTATAATTATAGTGGAGCTCTGTTTTTTCTTTTATATTTCAAGGAGGAGGATTTACATTGATGTAAATTGGGGATTTTTTTCCTTCATATGTGATGATGCTTAAACATGTGGAGAAAAAATAGTATATATATTTTCAACTTTGGTTTGTCAGGTTTCAAAGAGTTTAATTTTCTTTAGGCCTATAACCTAAAACTTAAATTTTTTCCTTCACAACTAACTGCTGACCAGTATTGATATATTTAGATCAAATAAAACTAGAATGTTAAAAAAAAAGGGAAAAAATATTACTTGTATCATTTGTATCTCAGAAACATTCTATCTTGGATAATTAGTTATGTAAACTGCTAATATTCTAAATTGAAAAGTATTTTATAAATCATCATCTAGTAATATTGTTTCTTCCCCAATTCTGTGGTGGTAGTGGTAGTAGTAATTGTACTTTATAAACTGTATTTGGGAGAAGGATGGGAAATCTACCTCCTATGTGAATGAAAACCCTCTAGAGGGTCAGCTGTGGGTCATTTCCGAATTGATGGTATGCAACAACAACAAACTGTATTATTTCTAACTTACTTATACTATTTAGTATGCTTTAAATTCTTTTTAACAGAGAAAGCAATTTTGCAGTTTTATTTCCAAAGAGATACGTGCATAGTTACAAACATAAGCCTGTAGTGTAAGATTTTTCTGAAGGAATGTAAGAAATTATTTGTTTATAGAATACTTTATTTTATCTATTCTCTTTTTAAATTCCTTTTTCTTTTACCTAATGGCAAAACTTCATCTCACCATTTTGGTCATGCGGCTAGGAGAGGCATCCTTGGAAAGGGGCATCATGCTAAGAAAGGTGACAGGTCAGCAAAAGAGAGGAAAACTCGCAGCTAGATGGATTGATACAGTGACTGCTGCAATGGGCTCACGGGTGTTAGAGATAATGAAGTTGGCACAGGAAAGGACAGGGTTCAGATTTGTTGTTCATAGGGTTGCTATGAGTTATACTCGGTTCAATGGTACCTAACGATAATACTTATAATGATTACTATCCTTTTAGTCACTCTCCTTTGAATCTAAGAAAATAATAATCAGATCTGTCTTTTCTTTCTTTAACAGAAGTGAGGGGACAACCCAGAACTACAAGTTTTGGCAAGATAAAGCGGTGGCTGCTGCTTTTCCTGATAGCTGCTTTGGCTGTAGGGATTTTTTGGTCCAGATACACGCCCGAGGCGGAAACCACTGCTGTAAAAGAATTCCAGAACCAGATGAGACAACTTATGACTAAGTACCAAGGTCAAGATGAGAAGTTGTGGAAAAGAAGCGTCACATTCCTGGAAAAACATCTGAATAGCTCCCATCCTCGGCCTCAGCCCGCTATCTTACTGCTCACTGCGGCCCGAGATGCTGAAGAAGCTCTTAAGTGTCTGAGCGAACAAATTGCTGATGCCTATTCTTCCTTCCGTAGTGTCCGTGCCATCCGGATTGACGGGGCAGGCAAAGCTGCTCAAGACAGTGACACTGTCAAAGAGGAGGTAGATAAGGAACTGAGCAGTGGGTTCCAAAATGGCCAGAACGCAGCCGTGGTGCACCGCTTCGAGTCCCTGCCTGCCGGCTCGACTCTGATCTTCTACAAGTATTGTGACCATGAGAATGCAGCCTTCAAAGATGTAGCCTTAGTCCTGACTGTCCTGCTGGAAGAGGAGACACTTGGAACCAGTCTAGGCCTCAAGGAAATTGAAGAAAAAGTGAGAGATTTCCTCAGAGTCAAGTTCACCAGCTCTGACACACCAAGCTCTTACAATCACATGGACCCAGACAAATTGAGTGGTCTCTGGAGCCGTATTTCTCACTTAGTTCTCCCTGTGCAACCTGAAAATGCCTTGAAAAGGGGCATCTGTTTGTAACGGGTGAGAGAAAAGAAAATCATGTCTCAAGTTCTGTGAAGATTCAGACTTTCTAACCAGAGACAGGATTCAGAGCTCTTTTTGAAAGAACTGGTTTCTTTTTAAAGGGAATTAAGTTCTTATGTAAACATGGAACATCTAAATAATTTATCCAACCTGATTATCTGGTTTTTGAGAGAATCATTTCTGTTTCAACTGAGAGCTGTGTTAAGAATATCCTCCCATAGAGGCCTGATTTAGATTTTGAGTTGGATCATTATTGATAGAGCATGACCATTGGGAGAGATTAAGCTTTCCTGTGAATCCTCCAAATTCCTTAATTTGAAATTTTCATAAAGTTTATTGAGTTACTTAGTAAGGCAGCTTCCTAAATGCAACTGTGGATTTTTTTTTCATCTTTTCCCAAAATTTGAGTTCTTTGGTCATTGCTTATAATTACAAAAGTAATGAAGGATCATTTGGATATTTGTTTGGACTTATTTTTTTATCATTGGAGAGCAGGAGGCAAGGGTTAAAAGAGAAATTATTCAAAGGGGAGAAAAAAAATTCTTCATAATAATCTACTAAGACCTAGATGAGTCAGATAGAGATATATGGACTCTGTTGTCTCACTGAATTGTGTTTGGATTTTTAATATGTCCCCTTTTTTTCACCCTTTAAAATAATTCTTGGTTTTCCCAAGAATTTTTCAGGCATATATATCATGAAGCTTAGTATATTTGCTTATTTGACTGGTAAGAGTGAGTAAATTCAGTTTGGGCATATCTGGAAACTTTTGAGTAAGATTTCAGGAATTGGTCAAGCACCTGCTAATCAGCTTTCACAGGCGACTGGAGGATTTGATTTTCTCCGTGTCCTCTTACTGCATTGTGAGTCCTTTAAGAAGGTGCTCCACGGCAGATACAAAGATTTACTATGCACATGATGAGTTATAGTTGAGTGCCTCAAGCCAAAAAGAAAGTAAACTTTACCACTTATAAAGAATGTTACAATACATTATTTCTGTACTGCTGTATTTCATTTTGTAACTTTGCACCTGTAACTGAGCTTTCTCATCTGTCAATTCCATTGGCATTTTTAGGATCATATAATTCTACATATACCTCCTGTGTTTTTTTGATCCATAAACCTTTAAAGACAAATATTGTTTATAGTATACAGAGCCAGTCCTTGATGTCATTGATTATTTCTTAAGGGTCCCACCACCAATAAGTGGAGAGAGGTCCAATTTCTGTACACTAGAACAGTACATGTTCATTCATTTTCACCCCTTATTATAATTTGTTCCTATGAAAAATCAGATCATATGGTTTATTTTATAAAAGATTCTAAAACAGTAGTTTTTAAAAAGCTTATTTTATGCAAACATATTATATGGAGAAGCAAAAGTTTTTATTGAAGGCTTAACTGACCAAAATAATTTTCAAGTAACTATATCTTTCAGGAAAAATAATACAGCCACCAAACTGTAAACTACTTTAAAAGCTATTTTAGTAATTTAAATAAATTTGCCTTCTTGATTTGTACTCTTTGTATGTGTTGTAAATTTAATTGGTCACAATTTTTTTAATTATTCAAGAAGCATTTTTCTTTACACTTGAATAATTTCCATAACTTCTGCTAGGAATGATGAAGGCTGGAGAACTGGAGCCATCCATAAATGCATTGACTAAAAATGGAACAGCCATCATTTTCCATTTCATTCAGAGATTTTGAATTACTACTAAAATTGTATTTGTTTCAGTCTTCCCATGCTTAGTTGACAGTGAATTTTATGTACTTCAGATATAAAAGATTTGACAAGAAAATCTCTAGAGCAGCATTTCCCAAACTTTATTTTATTACCACTTTCAAGGCAGCTTTTTTCCCCCAAAGCAGCTTTTTAAGACTTTTTTCCCAGTAGCACCTCAATACACACACACATACACACATCTGTACAAAAAGTTAACTTTTTCTTTGCTAAAGAAGAACATAAAGAGTCAAGGGCATCTGTATTTTTTTATAGTTACTGCTCAAAACTCTTTCATTTTCTAATTGTGACGTTGTAATTTTTCAGATGGGAAAATTTCCCAGATCACTAACTTGAAAACTGAAAGTATAGTCTCTAGATATTGTCATAGTTTTAGATAGCAGCAATGGCCGAGGGAAAACCACAGTACAGTACTGATCTTAGACATTTTTGAAAACACAGTGTCCCTTCTTTTAATTATTACTTTCATGTCTTTGAAGAAGTTTTCTAAACTTATTATCTTCAAAATAAAGATTGAGAGTAAACTTATTCCTTCTGCAGTGAGACCTGTGGAAATGAAAGGATTTGCATAGCTTGTACCATTTAGTTAATGGCTAAAGTTATACAAATAATAGAATCCTTGCATACTTGCATCTTAGTAAAGTAGCCTTTGTGTTGTTAATGTAAGCAGACAGCCTTCACTGAATGATTGATATAAAGGGGATAGACTATTTTTAGACCTTTCTGTGAAAGTGTCATTATCAAGACCAAAGATATTTCAATAAGGAAAAGAGTATTGTCGTTAGCCACCTGGGATGATGTTGAGTGCTCAGCTGAGAAAACCAAACAGGGCTGTCATGTCCTAGAAGAGAAAGATCCTGCCTGCCATCCTATTTCAGATTCAGAGAAGTGCCTATTTTCACTTTGGAACAGTCTGAAAATTCAGGCCATCACCTGAGCATAAAGAGTAGAAATCCCTCACACTCTATACTTTCTAAACTCACTCAGACTTGAGGCTGTTGAGTCAATTCCAACTCAGAGACCCTCCACATCTGGTTTTGGGGCTGAAAAATGTAAGAGGAGGAGAATGCCTGCCTTTCTCCGGAGGAGTCACTAGTGGATTTGAATTGCCAACACCTCATTTTGGATTACTAATGCAATTTGCTACACTTTAACCATAATAAAGTCTTAAAATTACTTAAACATAGTGTTTCCTATATTTGGCACATTATTAGACACTTCTGGAAGACTTGAGGTTGTTGCCCATTTCCCTCTCAATCTCATGCTCTGCTAGCTCTTAACTGTTCTTAAGACCTGGGGTTTTTTTGGCAGAAATTTCACTGAATTATTTTTCCTAATTCTGGCTCAATCCTCTATCTTTATGCTTTTATCTAATGTTCCTGTAACAGCAGTTAGAACACTATTACCATATGCCTTTGGAGAGGCAGTTGTTGTTTACCATCAAGTCAGAACTGACCCATAGGTGACCCTCCAGTGGCCTTTCAGAGGTGGTAAATTGCTCGTGGAAGATTGTCCATCTTTATCCCATAGAGCAGCTGGTAGATTCGAACTGCATAGCTTTGCATTAGTGCAGTTCCTTGCCACTAAGCCACCACAACTCCGTTTTGAGAGTGGGAGAATTTTGTTAATATATACTTGGTATAATAGTTTGATACTTGAAAGGCTGATGTTTGGAATCAACTCGCAGCTCTTGGGGAAAAAAAAAGACTTTATGATCTATTCATACAAGGATAAAAATTTAGGAACTCTGACAGGACAATTCTCTGCTATAAGGTCACTGACACACAGTGTGTGTCAGGAGGTGTGAGGATGGTGCAGGACAGGACTAGGTTCAGATTTTTTTGTTCATAGGGTCATTATGAGTCGTACTCAACTAGATGACATGTAACAACAACAAAGTCACTGAGAGTTGAATGCTACTTGACAGCCAGCGCAATTAATAAGGAAACAGAACAGGAACTATGTGTGCCTGTGACCAGGTGGTAGAAGGAAAGCTGGTTTAATTCACATAAAGATCTGGTGGAAGGAAATATGATTAATAAAAGGTCCACTAGTGAATGGTGCAACCAGAGTGTTCCTTGGGGGCAATGATTGTGAAGCTTCGTCTTTCACTCTTCAGATCTGTAGCTAGGCGAAGTTATTCATTGTTGAGGGATGTCATGCTTAGAAAGATGAGGGACTCACAAAGGAGAGAAAAACCCCTAATAAGATTAATTGACCCAGTTACTTCAGCAAGGAGCTTGAGTGGTTAAGAGATAGTGAGGTTGGCACAGGATAGAGCAGGTTTAAGGTTGACTGTTGAGAAGATCCCTGTGAGTCTTTCTCAATTTGATGGCACCAAACAACAACAGTGGAAAGTGAATTTTTAAGACACAAGATTGGGATATGAAGTCTTTCCAATGAGCCTTGAAATTTGAGCTTTCTTAGAAGAGATAGAAAGCTTGCTTACACTTTTCTATATGGTTAAAATTCGCTACCCTCAAGACAATTCCTGCTCTGTAACACTGAGTAAACAAGTTTACTTGTGAACCTCTTCCACAATTTTGCTCGCTGAAAGTGAGGAGGACTTGAAGTACTTCTAGAAGATCAAGGGATGCAGCCGTTTGGTATGGATTGCATCTCACTGTCAAGAAAACAAAGATTCTTAACACTGAACTGATAGGCAATATCACAGTGGATGGAGAGGAGATTGAAACTGTCAACAGCATCATTTTGCTTGGATCCACAATTAACACCCTTGGTACCAGCAGTCAAGAAATACGAAGACGCATTGCAATGGGAAAATCTGCAGTTAGGGACCTCTCTAAGTTATTGAGGAGTAATGATGTCAGTTTGAGGTCTAAGGTGAGTCTGATTCAGGCCATAGTCTTTCTGATTACTAGTTATGCATCTGAGAGCTGGACAATGAACAAGGATGACAGAAAGAACTGGAACCTTTGAGCTGTGGTGTTGGAGAAGAGCACTGAACATCCCATGGACAGTCAAGAGAACAAACATGTCTTGGAGAAGATGCAGCTGGAGTGCTCTCTGGAGGCAAGAATGATGAGGCCTCACATACTTTGGGCTTGTTGCTAAGATGGGCTATTCCTTAGAAAGGGACATGATACTGGGAAGGGTGGAGGGTTGGCGAAGGAGAGGTAGGTGGACCTCAAGTAGGTGGATTGACACGGTGCTTGTCTGTCAGGAAGTGGGAGGATGGCACAGGATAGACCATGGTTCAGGTCTTTTGTTCATAGGGTTGCTGCGAGTC